ATAAGCACTCCTTTCGCTATTCATTTCAAGTTGAGTTTTAATCAAAGCTCTTCAAGTGAAGATGAGGAATTTGATACGAAATATGTTCCTTATACGTCTGTTGTGGGTAGTTTGATATATGCAATGGTGTGTACAAGACCATATATAACACATGATGTTGGTACAGTCAGTAGATTCTTGTCAAATCCAGGTAGAGAGTATTGAAATGTTTTAAATTGGATTTTAAGGTATCTTTGTGGTACTACTTCTGTGAGGCTTTGTTTTGGAGGAGATAAACCTACTCTAGTAGATACTCTGACTCTGATATGGCCGAAGACTTTGATTCCAGAAAGTTCACTTTAGGCTACATGATTAAATTTTCAGGGAGAGTTGTGGCTTGGCAATCCAAATTGCAAAAGTGTGTAGCATTGTCTACTATAGAGGTTGAGTTTATTACAATTGTAGAAGTATGCAAAGAGTTATTATAGTTGAAGAAATTTTTTCAGGAGCTTGGTTTTGTTCAAGACAAGTATGTGTTATTTGTTGATAACCAAAGTGTTATTCATCTTGGTAAGAATCTGACTTTTTATAATAAGTCCAAACACATTAATGTGAGATGTCATTGAATACGTGATGTTTTAGATGATAATTTTTTGAAGTTAGATAAATTTCATACATATGATAATGATTCTAATATGATGACTAAAACATTACCAAGAGAGAAATTTGAAGCTTGTTGTGATATCGTCGATTTGGCGATTTTCTCCACATAGTTGTGAGGGGAGATTTGTTGGGTTAGGGCTTCCTTCCTATATGGATTAAGATCCAAATATGATTAGCCCATTTGTGTCACTTATTTAAGCGGAGAGGATCAATTTTGAGTTGAGAGAGATAGAGAGAAAATAGGGATTCAAAAGAGAGAAAAGATGAGAGAAACTCATTCCCGTTTTTCTACAACCAATCTCGCTAAATCGACGATCCCCGATTTGTTAACCATCGGATCAATTCAATTTTGGAGGAAAAGTTCATAACACATGTATCTAACTTTTGACTGTTCACAATTTCAAAACAACGCCTGAGGTGAGAGTTATTTGCTTCGCACTGAAGATGTAGATTTGAGAAATTTTTTAGCTTTTTTATTCTTATTTGTAAGCTAGTTGATTTGTGATTTGCGGTTGTTAACACTATTTTGTGAGTCACTTTAAGACTCTCTTGTGCCCTTAATTGATTATAGTGGAGTTATTTCTTTGGTATGGTCGACTCGTGATTTTTACTCTCATATTGAGGGGTTTTCGACATTAAAAATATCGACGTTCTTTTATGTCTTTATTTGTTCAATTTGTCATCTTATATTTGTTGTTTATCCTCAAAGTTCATACAAGTATGGGGAATTTTATATTCGTTATGTATTGGTCTATTATTGTGTTTAAATTTCCCATCAGGTTTTTCATCCACACTTTTAGCCCCTTTTGTAAACGTCTACTAATAAAAGTTTATGTGACATGCCACATGAATTTTTTGCTGACTAGATATACATATGACAATGTTAGCTTGGAAAATATGATGACATGGATGCTATATTTTTAATATTAATTAATGTAATAATGATGAATATTATATCCCTAAATATGTCGCTAAGATGAACATCATAGATAAACCCAGAAACGGTAGCTAATCCGCAACTAATGCCTAGCTAATTCAAACACATCATTTTCCCATTTTTTTCATCCTAAAGAAATGCTTATAATGACCTAGAATTTGTTTGTTTTCATAATTTTTTGCATGAAAGTTTATCACACTATAAGGATCTCTCCCATAAAAATTGAAGATTTTCTTTTTAACGTGGGATGAATTAAATATGAATTTTGTAAGCGTTATTTTTTTTTGAAATAGAAACAACGCAAAATTTGGCTTATGATTGAATTTTAAGTTAATGTTTTTGCAGTGACCTATCTCTTAACTCATGGAATTACAAAGTTTCGTGGCATTATGAATAAGTCTTGATTTATTTTAATTTTTTGATTGAAACACATATATTAATGTATTTTTTAAGAGACGTAAATAACATAAAGATAGGCATACGTATCGTATTTTGATCATATTTTTTAGGCTTTCTACGATAACAAATCAAGAGGAAACACAAATTTTTATAGCATTACGACGATGCTTCAATCAATTTTTATTTTCTGAGTGTCACATGTTCAAGAAGCAAAAAATGTCGCAAACATAGGCATATGCATCACATTTTCAACTAATTTTTTGCATTGATTTCAATGACAACAAATAGAGAGAAATCGTAAAGCTTCATATCCTTAATTTATTTTTATTTATTTTCGCCGCTTGAAAAAATACATATACATGTGTTTCGATCGAAAAATCAAAATAAATTGATACTTATTTGAAATGTCACACAATTTTGCAGATCCTTTTGATGCACAATGAGATAAATTCCTGCAAAATATTAGTTCAAAATTTAATCATATGCCACTATTTGGGTTGTTTTTGTCTCACAAAAAATTGACGCTTAAAAAAATTCATATTTACTTAATCCAACATTAAAAAAAAATCAATTTTTGTGGGAGAGATCCCTATAATGTGACAAACTTTGTATTATAAAAAAAATATATAGTTTAGGTCATTGTAAGCATCTTTTTAGGATGACAATTTTTTTAAAGAAAGATGTGTTTGAATTAGCTAGGTGTCACCTACGAATTAACTATGAATTACCTATCGTTTCTTGGTTTAAGTATGATGTTCATCTTAGCGACAAATTTAGTGACAACTATTCGTTCCTTTAACGTTAATTAATATTAGTAATATAAAATGGTAACAAATTGGCATGTGACATCTATGTCAGCATCTTTGTCAAATTGTCGTTGCCACGTGTACGCCCAGTCAACAAAAAAATTCATGTGACATGTCATGTTAGCTTTTGTTAATAAATGTTAACAAGATGAATCAAAAGCGTGAATGACAAATATTATGAGGATAATTGTTTGAAGAAAATTTTTAGAAATCTAAAAAAAAAAATTCAATATATTTAGAGAGACCACAAACATATTTAACCCTAATATTAATTATGTATATAGCGACATCATGTCGTTAAATTTGTTGGTCAGATAAACATCATAGTTAAACCTAGATGTGTTAGATAATCCGTAGCTAATTCGTATCAAACTCTCTATAAATTATTTAACTTTTTTCATCATAAAGAGATGTTTATAATAGCCTAGACTTTGATTTTTCTCAACAAAAAAAAAATTGCATACAAGTTTATCACTTTATAAAAAACTCTCTCATAAAAATTGGAATTTTTCGATGTGGAATAAATTTAAATATGAATTTTTTAAACGTCAAATATCCATGAAACATAAACAATTCAAACCTTGACCTATAATTGAATTTAGTGCTAATAATTTACGGATACTTTTCACATAACATATAAAAATGATTGAAAATTTTTTGTGACATTTATAGCAAACCTTGATTTATTTTGATTTTTCAACCAAAAACACATAAATATTTTTTTCAAGAGGGAGAAACAAAATAACTTTAGATATACACATCACATTTTAACATAAATTTTTGCCTAAAATTCTATGACGACAAATAAAGAGAAATTACAAAGTTTTTTAGTATTGTGACAACACCTCGATCTATTATGATTTATTGGTGTGTCAAATATTCAAAAGGCAAAAATAATATTAAAAAATAAACACATGCATCAAATTTTATTTTATTTTCGCACTGATTTCTAGGACGACAAATAGATAGGAAATGCAAACTTTCGTAGTATTTATGGGGAGTAAAGATCTTCTCCATTTCTCAAAAGAAATGGAAATTATAGTAAATAAAAAATAGAAATGCAAGTATTTTTAAGAGTTGTGACATTAATCATACATTTATGCATCAAAAGCATAGTGATTGACATTTTGATTTCTTTTGAGAAATGGAGAGACATGTGAAAAAAAATCATTTATATGTGTTTCAATTGAAAAATCAAAATAAATTAAGATTTGTTAAAAATAGCACAAAACTTTGCATTTCTTTTTTTATGTGTAGCTCAAAACTCAATCATGAGTAACGGTTTGCATTGTTTTTGTTTAATAAAAAATCGACACTAAAAAAATCCATACTTAAATCATCTCACTTAAAAAAAATCTAATTTTCATGAGAAATTTTTCTATAAAATGATAAATTTGCATGAAAATTTTTATTAAAAATTAAACAGTAGGTCATAAAAAGCATTTATTGATGATGAAAAAGTTAAAAAAATTTATAAAAGTTTGCTACGACTTAATATTTTTGAGTTTAACTATAAATTCATTTAAACAGTAAATTCAGCGACCGATTTATTGTCGCTATATATTTAATTGATATTAATAAGATTAAAAAGTCAAAATATTATATGACATGTCAGCATATTTGCATACTAACATTGCCACATATATGTTTAATAAAAAAAAATCTGCACCTTATAAATTTTCATTAAGAAGAGTTAACCGCAATAACAAAAAAATGTGGACCGTAACATTCATAGACCATTATTAGAAAAGAAATTTGAAAAAATTAAAATTAAATAATGAGATATTTAAATAACCATAACATATTTAACCGTAGATAAAAAATACATCTCTATGAAATTTAAAGCATACAATTTCTCCTAGGGATATTCTTTAAAAAGAAAGTAGAAGAGAGAAAAAAAACAGTGAGACAAAGGATGAACAATCTTTGAATTTAATTTTGGCCCCACGAGTAAGGAGGCACACATTTTGGTGAGTGTTGTCACTCGTCGAGTTTTCTTCCTCCTCTTTCTGTTCTTTCCATATTTTGAGTGCTCTCTACGCAAACCATTTATTGTTTTCTCCTTCTTCTGACATAACCACCACCACCACACATCTCATTTCCACGAACAATACTCATTTAACAATCACACAAAACAAAATTTCCAGTTTTTGATACACTCAAACACTCTTTTTGTTTCTTGCAACTTTCTTTCTTTCTTTCTTTTTGCTTTGTTCATGATAATGGAGAAAAAACCGTCCAAGGGAAGAAGCTTCCTCACCTTCTTTGACTGGAATGGAAAATCTCAAAAGAAGCTCTTTGTGGATGTTGCAAACCAAGCAAAGGAAAACATTGAAATCTCGCCATTGCCAATGTCACAGGTCAAATACATACACTGTCATTTTTTTCAACCTTTCTTAGTTTTTTCCTAACCTTTTTTCTTTCTTTTATGATTACTGTGACAAATGTTTCAGATAAAGATGGATGAAAATGTAGAAAGTCCTAGTAGTATTGCATGTAGTGATTTTAGCTTTGCCTTATCAATTACTAGTGATGATTCTCAAGAATGCGAGACTAGTAGTAACTCCCCAGGGCTAGTAGCTAGACTCATGGGTTTGGATTCATTGCCTCCAGTTTCAACTCTCTCTCATGAGATTGCCCTTCATTCATTGAAGGACTATTGTCACGTAGATTCCATAAACATGGTACTTAAGTCAAACAGAATGTCTTTGGTTGGACCTTTATCTCCTTCCTTGAGAGCTCCTGAACTGCGAGACAAGTCGGAGCGCGAATCCGGGTTTAATGTGAATGGAAAACCTACTGAGAGGAGAAGAAACTTATATAAGGCTGCTTCAACTTATAAAGACTCGAGAGATTCGGGAAATAGTAGTTCCCCGCATGGTAAAGGAAAATCTGTTTCACTTACAACAACACAATCCAAAACCAATGTTCTTAGTAAGGATACATTGAATTTGAAGGGAAATAGGACATGTGTGAAGGAGAAAGAGATAAAATCGAATCGAAAAAATTGTATTGGTCGAAACAGCGATGTTCTTAGGCCGAATGGTTTAACCAGCAAAGGTAAATCAACTACAAAAGTTCGTGACAATAGGCCGAGACGAACCTGTTCTTCAGAAAGTTCGACCGGAGTTAGGAAGACAGCAAACAAATGTGCTGTTAGTTCCAACATTGAATCGAAAAGGTCGAGCACGAGAGTAGCTGATAAGCAAAAGGAGTTTTCAGTATCCAAAAGAAAGAATTCTTCTTCCCCAAAGAAGAGGTGTGATCAGAATGATAATGCAGTTAAATCTTATGAAAGAAAGTCGGTAAAATGTAATGTTACAACTGATGAAAGGATTTGCAACTATTCATTTAGCATGAATGAAAGCAAGGATGTCATTTCATTTACATTTACTTCTCCATTGAGGAGAAACATGCCTGAGTCGCGATCCACTACCGAGCAAGCGATGGAAACAATGACTGGTATTGATGTCGATGCATTAAGCGTCATGTTATCTCATATTAACCCACCTCAATGCACCTTTGAAGTAGAAGATTGTTCCGTTGGTTTTAAATCTATTTCGGAGGACGGATTTAACAGCGTGATGGAACTTGAATATGTAAAGGATATACTCAGCAGTGCAGAATTGATGACAGAAGAATTAGCAGTGGATGAAACCGAAAATATGATAATGCCAACTCTGTTCGATACGTTGGAGAATCAGAGAACTGAGGTAGAAAGCTATGAAGAGTACTCTAAGCTTCAAAGGAAAGCTATATTTGACTGTGTAAGTGAATGCTTAGGACTAAAATGTAGGCAAGTTTTTGTTGCAAAGTGCAAAACATGGCCTAGATGGGTAACATTTATGAGGAGAAGGTGGTTAACAGAAGAAGTGTACAAGGAAATATTGGAACTTAGAAGCATGGAAGAAGAGGTGGTTGTGGATGAGATTGTCAGAAAGGACATGTGCACTCCAATGGGTAGATGGCTTGACTTTGACATTGAAGTCTTTGAAAATGGCTTAGAAATTGAGCTTGGCATTGTAACCTTTTTGATAGATGAGTTGGTATCTGATCTCTGGCTTGTTTAAACCCTTGGTATCTATCTATCAGCCATTAGGTTCTTGGCCTTTTTAGATATTATTTTTTTTGTGATTTTCTTCCATCCAATCAATGAAAGAAACATTGTTAACAAACCTCACATGTCAAAACAACATACCATGTGCTTTCATCCTTATTTCATGTCTTTGTTTTAGAACCTTTCTTGAGTATTAAATATCTGCTTCAACTTTGCCAAAATATATCTTTATTACCATTAATTGAAATAATTGAGATAGTTTGTAATTAAGATAGTTAGCATTAGTTTGTGAGTCGATTAAGGTAATCAGCATTAATTGATTTTGATAATGTTCAATTTGGGAGCTCTAGTACTTGTATAAATATATTTCTCTTTTGATCATTACAATACATTAATTTAATTATTCTAGTTTTTCTTTTCCTTGTACTAACAAATTGGTATCCAAGAGTTTGATTCGATTTTTGTAAACAATAATAATTGAAGGTATGGTGGGAAATAACGGGTTCTCATCAAATATACCAATTATTGATGACAAGAATTTGGTCAAATGGTAAAAGCAAACGAATATGATATTCAATGTTTAAGGTGTGAGAATATGTAAATAAATGATTTCAACCTTTTAAAATCACATATAAGCGCAATGTGCTAACATTTAAAGAATTAAAAAAGAAAGATTAAAAAGTTTTGTTATTTATTCACCAATGTGTCGATACAAAGATATTTGGCAGTGATGCAAAAGTCAAGAGGGTGGTGCGGTGGCAATATGAAATGTTGTAGATGAAACAAAATGAATCATTCGTTAACTATTTCTTAAGATTGCTTGCTTTGACAACTCATATGAAGAATTCGGGTGGAACCTTATTAGAATAAATGATTATTGTGAAAGTAACAGGAATAATTAAAAACACTTATATAAAATTATTTAGAGTTCAATCACATCAAAAAATTGATGTGTGAAGACAAAAAACAATGACAACCAAAATAAATAGTCTTCAATAAAAATTAATTTTTTGTGCAATAATACACAAATTTAACTTGGCAAAAGAAGATAAAAATAAAGACAATAAATACAATAACTTATTTATCCAATTCGATCAAACAATCTACTCTTGGAGGATAGCAGCTTCATTGTAATTTTAAGAGTTGTTACGAAAGATTAAAGATGAGTTACAAGAAAATTGTTACCCAAGTTTCAAGAACAAAACATATTTTCTACCCAAGTGTTTTTCAATATCTCAAATTCATTATATATGAATCACACAATTTCATGGTGTTTAGAAGTGTTTCTCAATTCCCTTAAATACCCCAAAGGTTGTCCCCGACCCTTACCTCTATAAGTTTTTCCTTAGTTGGATTGTCACTTCTTCTCTCTGTCTTCAGTTGCAAAGTTCTAAACGTGGTAATGAGAATCATGCAAGAGATACATATTTATAACTAGGCATGACAACGGGGCAGGTCGGAGAAAGTTTTCACCTCCCCCAAACCTAAGTCTGAATCCCCAAAAAATTCTCGTTCTCCTCCCCAATCCTCAGGGGAGATGGAAAATTAAAACTTAAACTTTAAAAGACATGGGTTAACTCCCTAAGACAAAGGTGACTTTGCACCGGACTGGGTTAACAGTTCTTGTATTAGTTAGTTTATGTGTTTATACTTCAAGTTATGCAAACTTACTATCTTAAACATTGTTCCAACATTATTCCTAAGATCTTTTCATCAGTAAGACATAATTTTGATTGGCATCAGAACAAGCATCATGTTCTTGTTCGGTGAGCTCTAAAGTTTTTTTCTACATTATGTTGAAAATGGACAATGTTAAAGAATGAGGATCAATGAATCGTATGCTATTATGGATGGTACAAATTATGATAATTTGAAGGCTCTCAAGGTTTCCTTTCTCAATTACATGGACAAAAAAACTTGGAAAGCAATCATGAATGGATGGACTCCTCCAAAGGTTACAACTGAAGATAACACTAAAACATTAAAGCTAAAGAAGGACTAGTCCAAGGAAGAAGCTGAAGAAGCACTCGATAACTCTTGCGCCCTTAATTCCATTTATAATGGAATTGACAATAAAATCTTTAGAATCATCAACATCAGCAACAATGCTAAAGAAGCTTAGGAAACTTTCCAAACTGCTCATGAAGGCACCTCAAAGGTTCATATGTTAAGGCTTTAGCTCCTCACAACAAAATTTGAAAATCTTAAGATGAAAGAGGATGAAATCATTGCTAAATTTAATATTTTCTTTGTGACATTGTAAATAACTCGTTGACCCTTGGTGAAAAGATATCTGAAGAAAAGATGACTCAAAAAATCTTGAGATCTCTTCCAAATAGGTTTGATATGAAAGTCACAATCATTAAAAAAGCAAGAGTGCGGCGTTCAAAGATAATGTTGAAGAAGATGATAACTAGTTGGAAGGTGATACTGATGAAAACTTAACTGAATCTATTTCCCTTCTAGCCAAAGTATTTGGCAAGGTCGGGACAATACTTGACATAACATCAAGGAATAATTTCACAAAAAATGTCAAAGACAATCACCTCCAGAACTCCAATGGGTTTAATCCTCAGTGAAAAGGAACATATAAAGGGATGGAAAGGGAATCCAATGTCATGAATGTGAAGGTTTTGGTCACATTCACGCCGAATGTGCCAAATTTCTTAGGAAACAAAATAAGGGATATACTGCCACCTTTTTTTGTGATGAGTAAGATGAGGATAATGAAGCTGAACAAGCCAACAGTGTGATTGCATTCACAACTTGCATAAGGTCATAATAAACTATGAAAAATGATTGTCACACAAGTGATGAATAATTGTCTAATGATGCTCTTTTTGGAGCTTACAAGATGTTGAATCTCAAATGGAATAAAGAGTGAAAAGATATATATATATATATATATATATATATATATATATATATATATATATATATATATATATATATATATATATATATATATATATATATATATATATATATATATATATATATATATATATAATTGAATTTCTGCTCCAAGACAATGCGTGACTTATAGTTAACATCTCTGACTTAAAGGAATAATTTGATCACTTAAACTCCAAACTTTAATGTATGAATAAATTTGTTTGCACGGTAAATCCTAGAACTAAAACCCTTGATGAAATTATAGGGGTGGGCAAGATGGAAAAAGGCATGAAAAGAGTTGGAATTGATTATGACTCATCAAACTTAAAGACAAAATTTGTTCCTCCTATCTAGAAGACTGAGTTCATCATGTCAAACTAGGAGTTTCAACATCATGTTAGACATATTAACCAGTACTCAAATGATCATGGCATAGAATTAAGGGTATATCACTATTGTGGTCGATAAGATCATACATGACCACATTTTAACAAGTTATATGGTAGACCCTTCTACCAATATGAGGATCCTCGTTCCTGGAATGCTACAAAAGAGGTGCGCCCTTAACAAGTTTAGAAATCCAATGAGGAAACACTAAGTCATATAACATAGCCTTCCTTAAGAGTCTTCTCATGTGAAAAATGGTATTTTTATAGAGGTTGCTCCTGACACATGACTGAAGAAAATAACTACTTGAAAGACGTAAAGTCTTACTCAAACATCTATGTATATTTTGGTGATGGAGCCAAAGATAAATCGTTGGAAATGGGAAGTTAGATTGTCCAGCTCTCCCAAGTCTGGATTATGTGTTTCTTGTTTAAGGTTTCATTGTCAATCTCATTAGCACCACTAAACTATGTGATCAAAATATGTGTGTAAATTTCAATCGTTCTGAATGTACTGTCACTGACAAACATCAAGTTCAACTAATGAAAGGATCTCGATCAACAAATAAATGTTATATGTGGTGCCCTCAAGAAAAAAATCAACTTGAACCTTTCATGAACTCCAACCTTGATGAATCTGAGTTATGGCATAAAAAACATGGTCATTTAAATTTCCGAAGCATGAGAAAGATTGCCTTAAAAAAGGCCATTATTGGTTTTACTAATCTTAAGATTGAAGAAGGCGAGATTTGTGGAGAATGTCATATAGGAAAGCACACCAAGATTTTACACAAGAAGGTCCAACATCCTACCACCTACATAATTCTTGAACTATTTCACATGGATCTCATGGGACCCATGCATGTTAAAAGTCTAGGAGGAAAGAGACATGTTTCCGTGTGTGATGATGATTTCTAAAGGTACACGAGGGTTGACTTCTTGCGTGAAAAAATAGATACCTTCTCTATCTTTGAAATTTTGTGTCAACATCTACAACCCGAGAAAAGAGAAGAAATTGGTAAGATTGTTTGAATTCAGAGTGATCATGTAAGAGAATTTGAGATCTCCAACTTCTTATAATTATGTGCGGCTGAAGATATAGCTCATGAGTTTTTATCCCTTAGCAAACCTCAATAAAATAGGTGTGTTAAGCATAAAAACTGCACTATTTAAGAAATTTCTAGGGTCAAGCTTGATGCCAAGAATCTTCTTTATATCATTTAAGCATAAGTTAAAAACATTTCTTGCCACATCCATAATTGTGTAACCATTTGACTAGGTACCAAAGTCACTCATTATGAGTTGTGGAGAGGAACAAAGTCAAATGTGAGATACTTTCATGTTTTTGGTATCAAGTTTTATATTCTTTCTAATAGAGAGCAAAGACGCAAGTTGGATCCTTAAAGTGATGAAGGCGTCTTCTTGGCATACCCTACAAATAGTAAGGTATATCGAGTAATCATAAATGTCATTTTTGATGACACCCAATATAAAGTTTTCAATCATGAAGAGGATGAGTCCGCAGTTCTTTAGCAACATGTCTCATAAGATGTACCAGACAAGAATAATAACATCATTCTTCCAGCTGAAGATGATAAATAAAAGTTGAAGAATATAGTGCTCATATAAATAGAGGACCTTCCACAAAAATTCAAAAGGATCATCCAGTTGAAAACATAATTTGGGATCTAAATGAAGGAGTCATCACCAAATCAAAAGAGCCCAACGATTA